TTTTTTAGTTTAAAAAAAAAAAAAGTAAAACAAATATACTCAAGACCCAATAAGATGGGTCAACATAAAAAAAAGAAAAAGAAATTGTCCAAAGCATAGGTATAACAAAAGCTATACAACACTGATGAGAAACCAACAGCAAGCAGGTAAAACCATCATCATAACGTTCTGCAGTCAGAAAAAAAAAAAAAAATAGAAGTAATAATAGGGAGCTTACATACAGACCTAGGATAGGGGGTACATTGACACAGGTGGATAGAGTCACAAGAATTAACTTGCTATGGGCAATATAGTGGGGTGTAAAGGCTGGAGCAAGCAAGATAGGATTCACACCAATGCTTAGATGGGCAGAGAAGAGAAACTTTTGTTGGAATAAAGGTATAGTGTATTTTGGAAGACATTATGTAACTGTTACATTTGGAGAATAATGTTACCCCAAACTGTAGTACAGTAAATCATTTTCATATTTGGATATGAGCATATGTAATGAAGATCTACAGCAGAAAACACATGATGCTAGCAATAAAAAAGAACCTTTTCAAACTGTTGTATAGTTAAACCACTAGTTATTAATATATATCACATAAAAAATTGTAATCAGTTACCTACCATACCACAGTCACTTATTAAGAACATTCTATCTACGTATTTCCCTAAATAAAATTTCTAATCACTAGTGTATGGCTCAAAGACAGCTCACTGGGATAAAGAATTGTTGTGATCCTTTCAAAACAACTGCAAATCAAAATGATTTTTTTTGGGGGAAAGGGTCCAAATCTTGAAACAAGTTAACAATACTACAATCTGATGTTTGTTAAGTCCTTACCAGTTATCAACTATTTTCATTGTTCTAGGACCCTCTCTCTCTTCCATAGCCCTACATAACATCCACCAAAAACACTTAAAGTATTAACAACATTGAACTCAGGTAGAGTTACCTCTGAAATAGTGAAAGCCTTTCTTCACTGAATTTGAACTCATGCTATTAATAAAACATCTGACAAAAATTTCTGAATGTCTTTTATGCATTGCAGAGCATGCATCATTTATCCATAAACTTTCACTTTTCCACCTTCCATGATGCTTACTGTGCAAGCATCAGAAGATCATACACAAGTTTTTTCTTGACACTGTTCATTTTGCTATGATGTTCTTTCTGATGCAGCTATTTTCACCACTATCAGAATTTTATAACTTACAAAAGTTGCCAATAATGTGCAGGGCAAATTATAGATGCTATGTCACCACTGACATTTTGATGTATTTGTACTATTGTATACTGACATTTCTCATGGGTATCAATTGTATATATATATATACTTAATGTGCATAACAATCCCCATTTTCTTATATTTTTGATTAAGTTATTTTTTTTTTTGCTTAGGACTAATTGTATTCAGTTTGCTACAATGCTAGCTCTAATCCTGACAACACTCCTGCTGGTCTCATTTCTTTTCCTACACCAATCATCAGTTTTCTGTCCTACACATCATGAATTGTCTTTTTTTTTAAGCCATTCTATTTCTGCATCATTGTTAGTTATTCTTACTCCTCTGATTATTT